GCGGGGTGGGGGGGAGCCAGTGGCTCCTGGGCTGAGGCAGCACAAGCTGCGGTGTGGCAGTGGGGTGCAGGCACGTGAGGACGAGAGATGCCATGCGTCAAACTGAGCGTGAGTGAGGGCATTGTGGTAAATAAAGATACAGGAAGAGGAAAACTCACTGATGAGCACATGCATGCTCCAAGTAGAGGCCTTTTCCAGAGAAGGTGTGATCAGTAGGCCAAACGATGGATAAACTCAGGGTAGATGGAAGAAGACCTACTTTAACTAGGAGAGGAGGTTCAAAGCTAGACAGTTAGTGAAGCCCGAGTGGGCAATGGGTGTCCACCCTAGTAGTTCCACAGATGGGCAAACTCCTCTGCATAGTGGTTGAGTATGACAGAAACTTGCGTGACATGGATTCTGGTTTCATTTGGTTTTCTAATGGGGTGGGGTTGAGTGCATGGAATCCTGCAGGACTTGGCTCCTGGACATATGGATGTGTGGGGTGTTTGTTTTAACATTTTCTTGCTTCTCTAGAGGGGTATGCTGATTGTAGGTACTCTGCTACTCTGTCTTTCTCATCTGCCTCAAACAAAGAATTGAAACTGTCATCAGTAGCTGAGATGTAAGGAAGGAGCCAAGAGAGACTTCTTAAACATTCAAGAACTGTTCTGGGATCATAAGATAAAGCATTTGAGTGTGTTTACTGGCCACCACACTGCTAAAACTGCCTTTTGAGGGTTTTTGAGCTTTTTGGGTGAGTTATTGACAGGGGCCAGTAATGGTCCGCTAGCCTTAGAGAGCATAAACATCTCTTTTTAGGTTCTGCAGTTTTCTCCAGGCTGTGCTGCCAACATACCTGAACTGCGTGTTGTAGGAAATACAGCTGAAGTGTGAAATGACACTGTACAGTCAAGGTCAAACTGGTATTTGGCTCATCTTCCAAGCCTGATAATGAATGTATGAACAGTAAACACTTGGGGCAAGTAGAAACTATTGTATTATGAAATGGACTGAAGCCACTGGTAGAAAGATGACACGTTCACAATGTAGCATCCTAGCTACTGACTTACTGTTATCAGAAGAGGCTTTGACAAATAAATCCTAGCATCACCTGGGAACATCTGACTTCTTAAAGCCCCTTCTGTCTGGCTTTCAGTGTAGAAAGCAAGTTGGTTTCTCTGGCTGGTTGACAAATGTTCTGTCTAACGGGAGACAGAGATGATGTGGTTCCTTTTTTTTGCTTTAGATCTGTCAACAGCTGAGGAGTCATTGTTCATGAGAGATTTTTGACTCATCTGAAGTCCCTGACAAAGGTGGCTGGAATCTTGCCGTAGTGGTTCTGCTCTTCAGTCGCACAGAAACAGATGCTGACATTCAGCCGTTGCTTTTCCAGCCAGAGGGCTGTCACACGTTCCCCACGGCTCCAGATTTTCATGTTGCCTTCTGCTTGTTCCATGTCACTGAGTGGCTTTGGGAGGAGTGCCATCCAGAGCCCCGTCAGTGACACGGGACACGGCCAAGCGTAGCTGACACACAGCTGTCTTCTTGAATCTGTAGCTCTGCACACAATGAGTGGGAGAGGAAAGACAAATGCTACAGGAGGAGAGAAAGCAAAGAAACCAGGCCTCAGAGGGGGTGGGGGATCTTCTGTGCTGTATAGCTGGACACTGTGGGACCTGGCCAACTTTGTTTGCTCCCTGCAGCCTTCAGAATACAACGTGAGTGGCTGCTCTCGTCCTCCTCTGTGTGCAGGTTCCCTGGGAGGCACGCCCTGGTGGGCCAAAACTCTGGGAGATGCGTTGTAGGCAAACTTTAAGAAAGAGGAGGAGAATGGCAGAGAAACTGAGAAAAGAAGGACTAGGCTTTTCCAAGAATTGCATTTACTAGCAGCCAGACCTTTTCTCCCCCTGCCCTAGGGTGGCATTAGCAAAGAGCATTCGTAACTCCAGGCAGCAGCACTTGCATGACCTTCCCTCCTTACAGAGACCTGCCCCCAGTGCAGCCTTCGCACCAAAAGTCAGCATCAAGGCCCTGAGCCCCAGAGAGCCTGGACTGGCTTAGTGCATGGCTTGCTCTTCAGAAGGGAGACTAAAAGAAAAAACTTAATCCCAACATCTTAATCCAAGAGTCCTGGACAAAGCTTCCTCAACAAAGCATGTGCTTGAGGGCATGATAGACACTTGGCTATTGGTGCCTGGCTGCCATGGTAGAGAATAGTAGCCAGAGTCCCCCTAAAAATGGAACATCCACACTCCTTCAGTACCTCTGTGTACCAGTAACCCTTTTGTTTTCATGGTCTCATTAAAAATTTATCCTAACTCCTCTTTGCATTTAATTTATTGGGGTTTCATTTGTATCAAGATGTGATATTTTTAAATGGTCCGGGATGTCCAGCAGTATAGTGATTGAAAGTCAAAGTCAAAGTTTGAAATGAACAACAAAAACCCGCCAGGTCCGGGTCCTCTTTATGCAAACACAGTGCTCCGCGTTCAGTGCCCAGTGCGATGTCGGTAAGGTATCCCGTACCGCTGTGCTGTCAGTGTGAGCTCCGTCGTGCTGCGAGCCACCGAGCACTGCGGGATCTCACTCAGGAGTATGGCAAAGGCAGGGTGAGGGTCCTGCCAAGTCCTGCTAGCTGTTACGAGGAGGAAGAAATGGACCACCTGAGAGGGATGGAGGGGAGACACGTGTGTCAAAATACCTTGGTACAGCTTTGAGTGCTGTTCCAGACACAGTGGAGTTCACGGACATAATGGGGCTCTGAGTAGGTGTGACCTTGCCCAGCAGAAGTGGGCTGCGGGCTGCTGTGTGTTTGTGTCTCGGGGCTGGGTGGGGGAGTAGGGAAGAAGTTGGGGACTCTCAAGGACTTACTTGGATACTTCCTTGATTATTTTGTTTTGCAAAATGATGTGTGTTCACAGGCATGTACAGCAGTTCCAGCGCTAACCATAACGGCCCCTCGCCAGGTATATTGCCGCCTCCTCATGACGTCCCTTCAAGACACCATCCACTCGACTCTACCCTTTCCAGTCCACATCACCACCAGTCACCGTTGGAGAGTGCCAGGGAAGGGTATGTATGTGAAACGTGCTTGACCTCTGTCTGGCATGATAACAAATAATGAATCGTGTATTTTACTTTGCATGGATGCTGTTCAATTGAAAAACACTGGCCCAAACTAAGCAATTTTGTTTGGTTTAGAATCGTAGAATAATTTAGTTTTGAAGGGACCTCAGAAGGTCATGTCATCCATCTCCTGTGCAAACCAGGACAAACTTTGACGTTACTATCAGGTTGCTCAGAGCCTTGCCCTTGTCTTCAACGAAACACACTGAGATTTTTTTTCTTCACAGCATGCAATTGCATTTAGATTTTTTTTTTTTTTTAATTCTTCCTTGATGACTTCTTGTAGGTCTGGATAAGTGCAGAGAACTTTTATTAGCTAAAACAGAAATCTCTCAAAGAGTAAAACTCCAAACTATGACTCAGGAATAAGGCAGTGCTTGCCTTAGTAAGACTTCTAGTGTCAGAGTGGCAGGCTTTCTCACTTCCTTGCTCTCTGATAACATTTTCTGTACGACATCTCTCAGCACCAGGCATTAAGCAGTAAGATCCTAATCAGGGAAGCGCATATTATCACACTGATTGTATAGATTGCATTGCTACAGCATGGATTGCATTGCTTTGCTACAGTGTCTGATATTTCTAAAGCAATTTGCTCAAGGATCTCATAACACCTTCTCGACAGTAAAGAATCTCTGTAAGCCACAAAATTCTGCTCTCATCTTTTTGCTCAGATCTTTTTTGGTGTCTAGACTCATGCAAATCAAACATCAAACTTGTAGTTCTTCTTCTGAGCACTTTGGACAGGGAGGGGACTCTTGATTTTGTTTTATGGATGGGAACTTGGGATACAGAGAGATTAAGTGATTTTTTTATGTTGGGGTTCTTTGGCAAATATAGAAATTGAACATAGAGTTTTTTCATCCTAGACCAGTGACTGACCCATCCCTTCTTTTATATGGGGCAAGGAAAGCCCAGAAAGTTTTTAATTGTATGCTTTAAGCAAAGGGCAGAAGGTATGTGGCATGGAAAGGGCACAGTAAGGAAAATCATACCTGGAGCAGTTGAAGAATAATCTGATTGAGGAAAATCAATTAGGAACAAATTACTCTATTTTTTTCTTAATTTGGGGGATGAATGCTGTAGCAAGCTTAGCTTCTATACGCAGTTCCTCCTGCAGCCATCTCTTCTGACTGATGCCAGTAGAAAGTACCAGTCCCCCTCTCAATGCGTGATGCCTATCTGCCCATCATAGGAATATCCCTGTCACATAAGATGCCTGTGCCCAGTCCTTCCCTGCCCTGCCACCCACATTCCCAACCTTGTATTTCCTACTGGACAGTCCCAAATTAAGGTAAATCTTTCCTTGCAGAATGGGGCTACTTGAGCCTGGGGGAGTAGGATCTCTTCCTCTCACTGCTGCCCAGTGCACTGCTCAGCTGTTTCCTCTTTGAGTTGGTTCTAGGATGGGCTTCCTAGGGGAGTTAAGGCAAAAAATCCCAACCAAGAATGAAATAAACTAAGGATATACTATGGGAAGGATTTAACAGGTTGTCAGTAAGGTGAATTTGTTTCTAAGGCATTTCACATTTTGATACTGTTAATAAAAAATGAAAGCAAAGACTTGACCAGAATGAGGACAACAGGCAGTCTTCCAGTTTGAGGGGTCTGAAGCTCCCGGATGAATTCTCCTTGCTGCCCTTCATGTCTCCATTCCAGAGTACAGCACTTTTCAGCAGAAACACTGTGCTAAGTGAACTGAGTTTCTCACTGAGCAACTTCCACAGACATTGTGATCCTTTGCCTAGGCCGAAGTTGACATCAGAATTGTCTCTGCTGTCTTCAGTTCTAGTGGAACAGGCATTCTTTCTCAGAGGAGACAACAGTGCTGATGTGTTATCTCAGTGCTTATGTACATAAGTAATGTAAAGTCTTTGCAGAAACACCATAGTTAGTATCTTACGACAAAATGTCAGAGTGAGATGATAACAGATTTCTAACCATGAACCAAACATCAGGAAATGGAGAGTGACATGTATTTTTTAATAGTTATTTTAAAACAAGGTATCTAGTTTCATGACATAATTACTTGGAATTTTTCAGCATCTCAAATACCATTTTCTAAACTCAAAACAATCCGTATTCAGCACTGTCATACCCAGTCCAAGATCCTTTTGCTGTATTTTAATTGTTTATGCTTACATTGTTAATGACTGCTGAAATAAAGCCCACACATGACATTTTAATTCCAAGTGCAGAAGCTTAGTGTGATCTAATAGTCCTTGAATTTAATTTAGCAGAGTTTTGTTTAAAGCATTCATCCATTTAACTGGGCAAAATCACTTAATAATCTAATGCTTGGAGCCCCTGAATGATAGAACTGTTACACCTTTGCCACTTCATTGCAGTATGCCATTACTCATGTGAAATATAAATGGTTTACAATAGGAAAGAAACACCTAACACTACCTTCTTCATATTGACTGCTCCAGCTTTCTGGCACACGTGAAATGTTTTGCCTCATTTGTCAGCTGTCTCAGCATTCATGTTTAAGTAAATGTGAAGAATTTCTATGCTGTGAATCATTACGATGACAAGGCTGGATTGCATAGTTTCAGCCTGTGGAATGAACCAAATGATTACTATCAAGAAATCTAATTACTGAGTCATCAAATATGCAAGATGCCAAAAACTACATGAGGTGGAGTACAAATAGTCTACTCAAGTTTGACATAAGATTCAGAATTTGATGTAAAGGCTTTTTCTTTTTTTTTTTTTTTAAAGCCCTATGTTACACCATCCTTTGCCAAAGTCAATACCAAGTGCAGCAGTCAATTTTCCCAAATGGTTTGCTAAGACATTTAAATAGTTTGACAAAATTATCTAATTCACTTGAAAATGTTCTAAGAGAATCTGACTTCATTACCAAATGTATTTATACTGGCTTTACACAATATGGAGACTATTTCTTCAAATTCTGGTACAAAGTATATGCTAGACCAAAAAATCTTACTTATATTGATATTAATTAAACTGAAAGTGTGTGGCTGAGAAATATTTTGGCATCCAGAATGTGGGCTTGTCATGATCCAGGTTTAAATATGTATTTATTTATTTCAGGTAGCAAAGGTTTATTTTAGAATAGGCCATGTATTATGTCTACCTCGGTTTCATTTTGCCCATTGCAAAAATATTCTATTTTGATTTGTAGCAGGATGAAGAGTGGAAAAGCAGCTCTTAGCATTAAATCTTAGGTGGATGTTGCACTTGGCTTTCTTTCTACTGTTGTTTTAGCTGTTACTATCTAAGTAATCTAAAAATGTACTTAGTTTCATTTGCAAAGTATCTCTGTAAATTCCAGTTTAAAATATTTAGTGTGATAAATTACCAGCTTAAATGAAACTGATATGACTAAAGTTAAGTGAGTTTGAGTGGTGGCACCAAGTTAGGGATTTGCACCAATTTAGCTTAATGACCTAACAAGGTCACTTTGTAGGACCTGAACACGGTCCCTCTATGTGTGACTGTGAGGCCCTCTGTCACTTGTGTCGCCCGTAACAAACAGCACTTATGCTCTCAAAAGAAGCTGAGGTACTGACAAATAATAACTTTACTGGGAAGGCGATGTGTCTCCGAGGGAAAGGAAAGTGGAACTATTTTTTTATATTCCTGTGGTAACTTAGGTCATTTCAGCTCTGTAAACACAACAGTAAATGAAGAACTAGCGGGATTAAGACATGTGTGATGTCCATAGGTGATGATTAATGAGAACTCTGAATCCAGTCTTGTGAGCCTTTAATATAAAAGATTAAGTAATCAAGGTTAGAGGAAAGAGCTTACATGACTCTTTTGCCCAGGCTTCTCACCAGCTAACTGCAACCAGTTCAAACCATGTTCCAGACCGCCCTGAAAAGCCACTTCCCCATACAAAATCACAAGAAATCGTACTTAAAAACAATCAAGTGAAAAGAGACATTTTAATCAGGCTGCTTAAACGTCAGGATTTCTGTTTGCTTGCTTCTTAGCACCTGTTAATTCAAATACCACAGAAATACTTAAATGTAAAGAGATCTCTGTTAAAAATTTAGTCCTTCATTTCTCTTTACGTAAAGTAGCACAACATACACAGAGCCTCCCTTCTTGCTCAACCAGGAAACACCAGATGTGAAATTCCTGATATGTTTAAGGTTGAAAACAAATATGCAGGATAAAGTCTTGTGTGTTAGATTTTTATTTGTACTACTACCATGTTACACTTTGGCAATAAGAGACTGTAAGTCAGCTCCTACCCACATTTCAGCCATTACCTACGTTGCCAAGATCCTGTCAGGTGCCTCCATTTCAAAGAAGAACCTGGCTCGGCCTCCCTGCCTGTTCTCGGTGAGCTGCAGAGCTGGGAGAAAGCACCCTCCAACATCTCCACATCTCTGCTCTGTGGGATCGGTTTTGGCTTCGGCTTTACTGGTAGATGATGATGGCATACAAAAGGTTTGGTGGGTGTTTGCTTATCAGATGGGACCAGACTCTAATTGTTTCACTGTTGTTTGCAAGCAGCTAGTTTTCTATAGCGTGACTGTTTCTGGGATAAGATTTAAGAAATTGCCCCAAAACCAGTAAAAGAAATGGGGGAGATTCTTCTCAAGAGATTCTGCTGTCTCCTTAACTGCCAGAATCCATGGCCAGATAGGAGAATACATTTGTGTACCTAATTCTCATTACTTTCAGAGACAATTAGGTGTCTGTCTACTTATGTCTAAATTTTATTCATCAATAAGTTTGTCGGCTCGCATAAATAAATTGACTAGGAACCGGCATCTTGCTAAATCTTTGTAGGAAACAAGCTTTTACTCTCTAGAAGTACTCTGGAGAATTAAATACCTACCCACAGTTTTTGTAACAGTTCCTAGGACCAAGGAGATACATCATTCATTCATTGTGGATTCCACTGGAGAATACTGTTCATTTATAATAGAATACACAAGTCAGTGTTTGAGTCTTTCTTTCAAAAG